AGAAAAGAAAAGAAAAGAAAAGAAAAGAAAAGAAAAGAAAAGAAAAGAAAAGAAAAGAAAAGAAAAGAAAAGAAAAGAAAAGAAAAGAAAAGAAAGAAAAGAGGGGTATGGAAATGTGGGAATGGTAATTTTCTTCTTTACCTGAGATGCTCCATTTAGGCAAGGAACTGAAACAGGGGTGTTACACAGCTCCAAGCACTGTTCAGATGCTGTGCTCTGCTGCCCACTGGGAACCACCGCGTGCCTTCCAAGCTGCCCGTAGTCCACTCTGCCCCAGGTGAACACCTTGCCATCTCCTAAACACAAAACACATTTCAAGATTACTTATTCACCAAGTTCCTGAAACATGTGGATGCCAATGCATCTTATCTACAGCTTCAAAAACCTGGTGAAAACTTATTTTTGGGAACAGAACAAAAAAAAGCATTAAAAACTAGCTTGAGATATTACATTATACTTCTATGAAGCTACTCATTTTTCACTGACTTGTTTTCTACCAGAACAACATCTGGATGGTGGCCTGGACTGCAAATAAACCATGTCAGTTAAGCTGCACAACCTGGATATTCTGCATACAATAAATACACTTTGGTTACAAAAAAGGACATATTTTAGATTAATGGAAGCACAAACAGAACAGCTTATTCTGATACATAAAAGACTACAGAAAAGAGAATTATCTTCTACTCCCATTCTTTGCCATAAACAAGTCACTGCATGACCTGCATTTAACAGAGTTTTATGTTTTCATGATAGAAGTTACATTCTGTCACTAGTGTTAGCAGAGCTATAGTCCTCAGGAGACATCTGGTTAGTCAGGAGCACCAGGACAACTGCCATTAAGCACTGGAAAATTGCACTGGTTTGTTTTTTCAGGAATCACACATTGGCCAAGGAAAGGCAACTTTAAATGAAATCAGCACTATATGGCTCATCCTTCTCTCCAAGGGTTATTATTCCACATGCACTGCTGCAAGACTGACACCCAAAACACCATTCTCCTGTATGGATAACACCCATAAACATCCTTCTTACCTTTGCTTCCTTTGAATTAAAATAAATAAATCATACAAAGTGACAGCTTTATTTTCTTAACAAAGTGACTAGGTCCCTGCAGATAAGCCTGCCCCTTCTGGGCTTGCAATTTTAAAAGTTATATAGACACAGCAGAAGGTAAAGTCCTCAACTTGGTTTTAAGTAGAAGCATCCAGCCCAGAAAGAAACGTGCAATGATGTTGAGTTATGTACATAATTTGGCCAAAACTCAAACTGCTCTCCAGAGTTGAAATCAAGACATCATGTTTATAGGCCAAAAGATGTGGATTTGGGGGAAATACCATCCAGTCCTGCAAGTCAGCTTGCACACACACACACACGCCTCTCCCTGCCCCACAGAGGGACTGGGTGCAGGGGTATGGTCACACCACCCACAGGTGACAACTGAGAGGTTTCTAAACAGATCCCAAAAAGACAAACCCTTGGAAATCTGAACACCTCCCTTTTCTTTAGGGTGCTGTTAAACTGTCTTGATAGGGACACAGGTGGACACTGCTGGTTTGTGGAGATTAAGGTGATAATGCATTTTTTGTAAATGAACTGGAAACCTCAGTTCATATACAGGAGAAGTACGGGCATTTTCCCTGGAAATCTGCTGGCAGTAGTATCTTTCACTCCCATCACTGCAAGTTTTTCAGATGCATTCTCTCAGTTCACTGATAATGCTTCCCCTAAAATAATTAAGTGATAAAATTAGTTGTCCTTCTTTCTCAAGGGTACAAAGCTTTTTTTCCTTTGCAGCTTCCTCTCAGTTCAGGGAAAAGCTGAAAACAGTCACATACCACATTCAATACAAGTGAGGTCTTTTAACACAGTAGCTACATTTTGTTAGGTTAAAGGATAAAAACAAATTTCATTAAGAGAACTATTAGTGTATCTTAGGTTAGGAAAACAGTTTGAGGTTTAAAAACATGCTTGTTCTGAAGTTAGTATATTTACTTCACAATTTACATAGATCTCTAGTAAAAATACCTGCAGCTGCAAAAATGTACATAACAAATTTAAATATAGAGTAAGCTTTTAGGCTTTTACATCAGACCAGGTTACTGCACTTCTACAGAACCCTATTAGTGAACTGAGAAAGGATAGGCAGGGTACTCTATTTTATATTAACTACAGCAACTGAAACTGAGTTTTATGAAATCTAAAGCCAGAAAGAATTTTTGTAACATCCAGTTAGATCATTAATATACCACAGGCTCTCAAGCCCTCCCCAGACATTGCTGTATTGATCCCAAGGACTATAGCTGAATTAAAGCATTTCAGCTCTCAGAAGCCAAAAGTACCAAGTGCCACAGGCAAAAACATCAGCAAGCTGCAAGGCCTCTGAAAAGGCAAGCTTTGAATTGGTAATACAGACACAGATCCTCACACAGTCTACAGCACCAACCCTACACAAAGGCAACAAAGGTTTCTCTCAACTCAACCTTTTGGAGGAAAAACTCCTTCCCCAAATGAATCTGGTGCTGTCTGGACCCAGACATGAACAAGAAACACCAGCCACTCAAAAAACAAATGGGAATCTTTGCACCATCCCACCAGGGCACTGCTCCAGTGCAACTGAAGACTGCAAGCATATATGAAGGATTAAAACAGCAACAGTGCTTAGCTACAAAAAAACACCTGCCATCCAGATTCTATTTTCTTTCACTAAGCAAGCCAGCAAAGAATCACTTACTCCTGCAAAACCAAACAGAACCCTTGGCAGAATGTAAATTATTTCTGTAAAACATGAATGTAAAATGTTTCCAATTACAAACACAGACCGTTGCAATTTGACTTATTATTTTTTGCTACAATAAGGGAAACAAGTTTCAGGTGGTTATTAGTACTCAAGCATGGAGAACATTAATTTAAAAATATTAAAGCCAGATAAATTAATTTTTGCTTTTGGGAAGAATTTCTTGAATGCCCAAAGTTAAGCAACCAGCTCCTTCTCACTGCTCATCAATGCAGTTCTCAGTTCTTTTGAGACACCTTCCTTCCCCAGACTTGTTCCCATTTGCTGAGCATTCCCCATCCCATGCTCAGACTCCTGCTAATAGTCAATAATTTATATTTTTCAGCAAAAAAACAACTGCCCAGTGATCCTTAAAAAAAAAAAAACTCAAAGTACATAAATCTGTCTTTTCTGTGAGAGAAACTAAGAGAAGCTGATTTAAATGTGCCTTTTCTATGAAAAACTGATTATACTTTTAGCAAACAAACAAAAAAACCCAGTCTCAAGTGGAAATTTCAGGCTGAGGCAAACACCAATGCATGGAAAATTCCGCTAAAGGTTAAAGTCTCGTCAAAATCCTAAGAAAAAGAAAGCACTGAGCTATGACAGAAAGCGTTGAGCAATTGTAATGGGAGGTATTGCTACTGTGCTGCTTATAAAATGGATGGTATTTAAAGTGTTCTAAGAATATTTGAGAAAAAGACATTAGTCATATAGAGTAAGGAGGTTGCAGGATGAATTACTTAAGAATGAAGGGTGATATAACGAGGAGTGTTGGTCTAATATTAGACTCTGACAGATTTTAATTAGAAGTCAAGAAAACACACACAGTGATGAGTCAACTGGACAGAGTACATCAGCATGGAAGTGGCTGAGGCATCAGAAAATGTGATATTTCATACCAGAATCAGTGCAGGAAGAGGCAGCACAAAAGGCAGGAGTTATTTCTACAACTTGTGTAAAAAGAAAGGTACAATACTGGAAAGCTTTCCCAGTTCTTCTAAGATACCAACAATACTTCCTAAGACCTGAATCTTACCGTGTTCTGAGTATGGTGCCTCCAAAAGGCATTACAATTCCTCTACTGTCAACATCCACATTGTCCCAGATGATTTATAGCAGCTGGTCATTTTTTCACCAGGCAAATGCTACATCAAATAAAGTCCAGAGGTTCAATACCATTTGGAATTAAGGAGTAAGAGATATAAATTCATGAATCCTGTGTTATTCCAGCTTACAACCTGAATGAACCACACAATAGAATAGCTCAGAAAGCTGGAAAAAAAAGACAAAGGAGAGAAGATTTTAAAGAAAAAACTTTCTGACAGCTCCTTAAGTAAACAACACAAACAACAGTATGCTACACTGGTTGAGATTCTACACAATCATGCAGATCTGGTTTGCTCGTGCTCTTTGAACTGTAGACACAGCAGTGTGCATCAGTGTACACATAGCAGCAAATCACCCAAAACACATGCTCACATCCTTCACAGAATACAGATGAAGGTACATACATATTCAAGGGCTTCAATACAAACCACTCTCTGAAAGGTTCCTCTGCATTTTTTTCATGTCATCCTTGTGTCCTCATGTATAACAAAGCACAGACAGTTGAGAATGTCCTTAAAATTACAAGTTCACTGCCTTCAGAGTACTGCAAATCCAGAAACATTGCATAAAGCACTTGTAGTTGCTTCCTGCCTGACAGTGTAGCTTTTCCTGTGCTGTTTTATACTACTACTGAGACTGTAGAGCATGTCATTTTTCCCCTTTTAGCATTTTTTTAATCAATCTGCTCGGCCACATACGTGGAAAGAATTACCAATAAAAAAACCAAGTACATTAGTTTTAAAAACAGGTTGGTTGTTTCTCAGTAAAACACAACAGACAAAGAGGCACATTAAAATTTACTTAATTTCACTAGACACAGATTTATCTTTATATCAATTTTCCTGTTTTAAGAGAATATCCTGCACTAGTGTTATCTCCTTGAAGTCTCTATTTGGTACCCAGGCAAGCTTTGAACTATCCTTCATAAATACTAGATGAAAGAGTTCATCTAGGTTATCTCAGTTCACGGCTGCATTAATGATTATTTTTCAAATGAACTCTGGATATTCACACTGAATGCTTAATGTCAGGTTTGAAATATGAAGTTCTAAATAAAAAATTCCTAATGCCTCCTTTCACATGAAAATTCACAGGGGTAGGCATTAAAAATTGACATTTAGAGGCTGCCTCTTGCCTCCTCTCTGCCCTACACAGAATAATACTCCTCCCAAATCTACAGATGTCTGCTGTCCTTCAGAAAACCACCGATGTCCTTGACCCATTCTGAGAAACTTCCTCATCTACCAAGAAATAGCCCTTGTACAGGGCAACCTAACAGAAGAACATACATCCATACATTCTTAATTCCTTCTTGGCTGAAGACAGCTTTATTTCAGCAGCTGGCAACCAGGCATCCCCACACCTGCAGCCTAGCACCTGCAACTGTCTATGGTTTCAGTACAACACAGG